GCATTCACTGTGCATTCAGACCAAACTGATCCGGATAACCGACAGTGAGTATGGAGCTACAGTATCATTGTGAAGTAGCACAGTCCTTGGTAGAATGTGCCATTACCATGAGGTAAAATGAGTAAAACAAACAACTGATTATGACACAGACATAGGTAGCATGTATGTGTGCAGATGTCCAACTATGACGAACATCTTGAAATACGAAGTCTATCCTGTACGCATTCGGCAATAAATTTGTTGCTAGAAAAAATATCTTGGCTGCGGCTGTGTTAACATGACTCATAATGATTTGTAAACAGCACCCGCAGCACCCAAACAATGCAGTTTGACAGGAAGAAGCTTTATTTTGTGTGGCATGTTCTTCCAAGTTTGGGCTACAATCCAGAATCTCAGAATCATTTTAATTGGGTGGAAAAACTTATTCAAGCATGCAGAGGAAAGAAGATTCACTCGAAGAGTCATTCATGCAAATTCCCCCCCCCCTTTTTTTTTCTCCATCCAGATTGTTTGGGGCATAATAACAAGTGGAAAGATGTGGAGAAATAACAAGCATGCATTGTGACAAATTATTCATCACCAAGCTTATTATGTACTGTTTACCCACCGTTTTTGTCTGCTCTGCGGAAAATCTGGAAAACAAAAAGAGGGGGGGAGAGGATGTTTTTTATTTCTAGCATAGCATCACTGAAGGGATTCTTGCAATAAGCAGGTGTAAATTATTAAGAAACATGGCAGTTTGTCAAAAACACAATAGGATGTTTAACGCCTGCGGTTCGTTTATCCCGCTGCACAGACTAGAAAGATGACAAGATGAAGGACATTTACGAAGGCTGTTATACTCTGCATGAGTGAGTCATGTTAGGTTGAAAGCAAATTGATAGTGTCAGTTCTAAAATAGGTTGAACGATTATCATTCTAAAGTAAACAGTCATTTACTTCAGAAGTGATAATTGTACGGTAACGCCACACTATGTTTATCTTCTATTTGTTTGACTCACTGATGCTTTTTCATTAATTTCTTAGGAGGGCCAATATGGTAGGTAGTAAGAAGGATAATCATTTGCTATATGTATTATACACAATTTTGTTAAATATACAGTATGCAATAATATGCAAGAGTAACAGTAAGTCACAAATAATGGGGACTCCAAACACAAGATACTATCTGATTCAGTTGCAGCTTATTTTCTCTGGCATGCAGCTTTGTCTGCAAACAACACAGAAGTCCACCTTTCACTAAATCATTTTTCACTATGAGCATCTGAACATTTGACAGCAGGAAAAGCAGAAACAAAGCTCTGCTCCTGCATTAGTTTACTGTTTTGCTTACTTCAACATAGCCATCGTATCAGTTTTATAACGCGGTAAAAATGTTCGTTTGAAGCCATTTCATGGATTATCAGTCTAATCACAACGATGCTGCGCTGTATATAAACAATGCTGTGTAATCTTAATAGATTTGGCTTCCTCCATTCTGTTCCCCGTGGGGGACTCTCGTGTACAAAACTGGCTTGAATTAACAGCAGCGGATGGAGCACTTACATCAGTTGTATTATTTAATACACCAATGATGAGTATACGAAGACAAAACTATGACTGCACACACCACATCACTCAGCTGCAGCAAAAAAAAACCCAAAACAAATACAGATTTTGTTTTATATATATATATATATATATAACTGGTCTGTGTTTGATAGTAGTTACTGTTGTAATTGTTATGGAGTTTAAAAAAAGATGGAATCTTCTTGTTTTTAGCTGAGTTTTGAACCACCAGTAATGGCAACTTATACAAAGCCCACTTCTCAAGCTGAAAAAAACACCCATCAGATAAAATCAACAGTATAGATTATTCACTAAAGGTAGAAAAATCACTAAAACTGATGAAAGCCATTTGTTTTCTGACACGCAAAAGACAAATGTCCACACAACAGGATAAAGCTCAGGGTTGATCCTGCAAAGTCTGTGCGGCTGCTTTAAGAAAAAGAGTTGCTTTTTGGTCAACATGTAAAAATCTACTCGTTTCATTGTTTTTTCTTTAGCTCAGTGAAAACATTATTGTCCAGAAAATAGAAAGTGGACTGTTTGGCTTCACCAAACAACATAAAATAGAAGCAAAACAGAAAGCTATACCAACACACCATCAATAAATAACAGCGTTAAAACAGGGCCTTAGATCTAGATTTAAAGAAAGATCACAGCCACAACACAGCGACTAAAGTAACTATTGTGAAGGCTAAATATATTTTTCAAAGCGTTTGAATACAAAATCAAATAAAACTCAAGTCTACTGTGCACTGAGATGTGTGTCTTGAAAATATGAACATGAAAGTTAGATTTTTAAACCAATTTCAGTTTCATCTGTGCACTATAATAAGAATTTCACAAATATTAATGCAGCCACACAAACAAACATATGTGTGCGTTTGTAGCTGTATGCAGCTTGGTTGTCATTCAGGTGAGCAGAAAACAATAGCTTCATTAAGCGAGTTTGAATGCAAGATCTGCAATGAAAACAACAGATTTGTAATTTGTTCTCTTTTATTGATTCTCTTTCACTCCCTGACACATTTATGTCCAGTGCTAAGCAGCACAACTGCCGTGCTCATTGGTTTTGACCTACAGTTTATTAATCCTGCAGAATCTGGTCCTCGTTTTAATTTGTTATAGGTCAACAAGCTCAAGGTTTGCACTTGTGCCCTCGGTGTGTCTGTCTGTCTCTCCACTGCTTCAATCCTGACTTATAACAAGAGCCGGGTCATAACGACTCACTTCACGAAACACTGGCTGCTCTATTTTTGATTCCTCATCCTATTAAAAGCAACATTGCACTTGGATTGCACGTAGAAAGGACAATCAGAACACTCTACTTATCTTACATGAATACACATTTGATGTTGTACCGGCTTTAGGGTTCTGTCACTGCACAATCTCAGTCAGCAGCTTGTTCTTCTTCACTTTGGCACTGTGACCCATCTAGCCAACATTTTCCACTCCTCCTCTATTCCAGGGAGATCAGGTATAGCGTTAAATGTGTTTGTTGTTTGGCTGTGTCTTTTGACTCTCCGGTGTCAGGAGACGATAATGCATCATTTACAGCAAGCCCAGGAAAGGTCAGACCTGCTTCCCATTGTGTTGCTGTTCTGATGTCATGGTGGAGGGTATTAAGACGGTGGGTTATCTCAGGCTCTGCTTTCACACCACTTGGTGCAATACTTAATAAAAAAAAACATAACATCACAAAAAAAAAACCTAATAAATATGCTTTGTTGTTAGTAAATGCCAGATGATTTACTTTCTGTGAAAATCCAAAATATTATATGTTTCTTTCTCAGCAGCAGCAAAAGAAGAGAAGAAGCAGAAATAAGTGCCAGGAATCAAGAAAGCCTAAGAAAAGCAGGCCTGCTGCATTCACAAAACAAAGACGTTAAGAAGAGTAGCCAACAATGATGAAACAGCCTCATACAACCCTAGCACAATCAGTCACTTTTAAAGGATTGCTTTTTCTTTGATTTGTTGCAATCTTTGCATCTCTAACATTAGTGACTGGCTCAGTATCCTGCCATTGATGCACTGATGTGCAGATCTGTCTGCAAATTAAAGCTTATACGTTGCATGCAAAACCAAGCAACGTGCTTTTATAATAAATCGGTTTAATTGTTACAAACAATTACAAAATGTTCTGAATCAATTAGCAGTCCCATCACATTTAGTCATTAGTCCCCTGTCATTCTGTTGTGTACGTCTCGTAACCACTTGAAAATCAGTAGGTAGCACTGCAATAACAAAGGAGTCACATTACTCGCTTTTACTTTAGGAACACAGAATCTTTATGCAGATTTAAACCTGTACTAATGGAAATGTCAAACCAACACAAAAGATTAAAATTCTTAAAATCTCTCAGCTGTCCCAGGGGAATATTTGGTCAATCTACAGCTACGAATGCTTCCAGTCTTGGAACATGGTGCTTCTGCACCAAATAAAGGTGGAAAGCAATAAAAAGAAAGAACGAGGAGAAAAATGCAATGCACAGAGCAACATGGCACTTAAATTCAAGACAGCATGTCCGTTTCTGACTGAGACTGATTATTAGTGTATTCAGTACTGTCTCCTACACACAGTGTTTTAAACAATTTAAGCATAATTATATTTTGAGCATAGAACCGTCAAGCTGAATGGTCTTTTTTGTGTGTTAGTGCTCAGTCAACAGAAAAGCTCAAGGCCGAAGACTGAATATGAGAAGCACTTCAATCACATACCCCATTCAGGGACAGTGCACACTTTTAAATAGACATTTCTGCAAAAGTAATGTCCTTGTCTACACAAGGCTGTAGTCAAAGGGAAATGGAAAGCTTCAAGCTAGTGAGAGCTCAGATTTGGAAACATCACTGGTCTGCTAACCTCTAACAAGATGACAAGCTGGATGGTGGTTTCTATGGCAGCATTGCAGGTTAATAAGGCTGTTACTGTTTTGAGCACAACTTAGGGCAAGCTGCGCATTATAAATCATTAGCACCATCTTTGAGTTAAGTTTTATCTGATCACTTAGTTAGTTTGTTTGTTTAATACATATATATTGAATGGGTTCACTGTTATGCACGTATTGCCTCTGAAAGCCCATCTGTGTTTGCATCTGTGCGTAACAAAAAGAGGAGAACCCCCAGCAGTCCCTAAACCTGTCAGACTGGGAGCTTATTTTATCATGCAGAGACAGCAGCTGCAGCTGCAGCTTTTCCTACTTTCCTGCGCGTACATGGCGAGGCGCACACCACACAACATCTGATAAACAATACTGTAACGACGCAGTTTTCATTTCCACTAAATTCTCTAGAAAGTAATAAGTAAATAAGAGGGAGAGAGAAAACACATTTAAATTTGCAGCACTATATCAGCTGAGACCAGATCTTTTCTTTTTTCTTTTTTTTCATTCAATCTAATATTATTTGAACAATGAATATATTTAGATTTACAGTTAATATAGAAATACAAGAAAATTAATGAAAAGCAAAAGCGTCAACAATGTGTTGCATCACTAACACTAATACATGAGTAAGAGAGCGGATCCACTCACATCATGAAAAATAGTAAGCCCCTGTCCGGCATTGTGCGGCGGCTGCTGTTGCTGCTGAGCCCGAAGATGCTTCTGTTTGGCCGACTGCAGGCACATAGTGATCATCTCTGTACAAGCCAGCATCTTCGACCGCAACCAAACACGTCTAAATCAAACTGTTGAAGTCTAGGAGGCTAAAGTAAAATGAAGATGTTGGTATGGACGAGATTAGGGCTCCAGGTGCGAGAGATGACAAGTGCAAGCAGGCAGGCGGGGACTCGGGGACGCTCTGCAACTTTGTGGTGCGCAGCTGAACAGACCCGCCAGCCCCTCCTGCTGGAGCCGCAGTGATTGGCTCGTTTATCAGCATCTGGATTAAACTGATCATCACTAAAGCTTCTTATCTTCCCATAACCCTTTGTATATCTTTTTATTTTTTCGGTTTGAACGCAAAGACACAGTATTAAAACTAGAGCTGACTCCAACTTGCCCTCGGAGTGCTCGTTCATCGCCAGAGTTGTTAATACTGATAAAAAGGGCTTATTTTAAAGGGATTCCATTGTTCTTAAGTTAAATATACAGCGAATGTAATTAATCTGAATTAAATATTAGGTCCAAAGTTGTAAAACCTGAATGTTAAAATGAGCTTTTTTAAACACCCTAACAGTTCAGCGTTTGACATACACTGCCATCTGCTGGATGCGAGAAGTCACTATTTCAGATGGGGTTTTTTTTGTTGTTGTTGTTTTTTAAAGGGGGTGAATTTATAATTAGATTTCATTTATTTTTGGACTTATTCGTGTGGTTTTTAGTTTTAAAATAATGCATTTAACTGATTTAGAGAGGAACAAAAAAGTGTCAACGAGGGGTGGAGCGAAAGAAATTCCAAAGCGATCCTTTAAAAATATCTCTTCCTGGGCTTGAGTCAGTTTCACTTTCCGTTCTACTTGACAGGGACTGAGAAGTGAGAAAGCGACGCAGCGGGAGCGCTAGTGTAGTACTTCTGACTTCTACTTGGCTCTCTTTGGCCCTCTTCTCGGGCCTATAGCTGCCTTTCTTAACCTTAAGCCGAACTTGGAAAGGCTCTGTCGGATGAGGACTGAGGAAGTAGTGCCTGAAATAGTTTTAAAGGCAGCTCTGTTTCGTTACAGCTGCCAAGCAGCTTAATAATTTTATTACCTCCCGTGTAGTAATGGCTTCAGAGGTGGCACCGAGGGTCGATCCGACTGAGGGTAAGCAGCTCAATTAACTTTCGATTTTGTTATAAAGACTCCAAATACTTCTTGACAACTGCGTTTTATACGATCTCAGAGCTGTCCTAGTAAAACAGAAAGCGTTTTGTGTGAGTCACTGCTTGCTATCGATTTCTTAGTGTAGAGATTGTGAAAGTGTCACTGTTGTTTTGGTAAAACTCAACGCTTTATATTGTCAAATCAACAGAAAAGCCACTATCAATTTCGTAATGTTCATTTACCATTGCTACGTACGTGTATGTTGGCATAGAGGATAGAAAGAAATCAATTGAGAATACGAAGAATTAAAGAGAAACGAGTTATGCTGACAATAAGTCACGTGACGTCCCTCTCTCTTTGCTCGCGATGAAGCGGAGGAGCTTGCCCGGTCTCTGACTGAAGCCCTCAGCAGCGGGGACTCTGAAGAAGCAGCTAAACTGTGCCAGAGGCTGACTCAGCTCTCCGTCCCGGTGTCAGTCACCATCAGCAGTCAGATCTACCCCCAGGAATCCATAAGGTGGGACACAGCAGTGTGTGGGGATATGCCTGTGTGTACTTCCCTGTTTATTAAAATGCCTCCATGACAGTAATACCACAGACGTTGCTGTTTATGGGGGAAGAGTTCCCCTTTTTATTTTTAGATGGGGTCTGTTTTAATTTGGTAGCATGCAATGTAAACAAGAATTAAGGCCAAGTGCCAAAAAAATAAAACATATGCATATATGGTAAATGGTAAATGGCCTGTATTTGTATAGCGCTTTACTAGTCCCTAAGGACCCCAAAGCGCTTTACACATTCAGTCATCCACCCATTCACACACACTTTCACACACTGGTATATGTGACTGTTTGTCTGTGGTTACATGCTTGAAATACCAAAATAAGAACACGAATGAATGGACATGAATGTTCAAGTGAAAATAGTAGAGGGCTGACATGTTCTGCTGTTCCTGTTCTACAGGTTGAAGGTTGGAGTGGAGGATGGACAATCAGAAGACAATATCCCTGTGATTCTTGACGTTGCTACTGGCATGACAATCGCACAATTAAAAGACAAGGTACTGATGTGAAAGCACACGCAGCACAAGAGGCAATTTTCTTCTGTTCTTTTATTATTATTATTTTTTACTTCATTATTTTCTTACCAACCTATGATACATTATACATATAAAACCTAAAATGAAGCTGAGCTATGATCTATTAAAGGCTACTTGTGAAGTTTTCTTATAACCAAAAATGTTTATGCACCACTCATAATAATGCAGTGAGTGTATCATGGACCTATTTGTCAGTAAAGCCTTGCCCCTAAATGCAATTCGGTATTGTTTATATCAATGTTTATCAGCGAGCAGTCTTTTCTATTTTCTATTTTTATTTTAAATTCAGATTTGTTTCAGACTTAGTGTCCAGAGTGGGTTTGCTCATTTCAGTTTTAGTCATGTTTTTAGAAGTTTCACTGTTAGTTTTACTGTTTTATTGTCTAGCACGTATACGCTAAAGGCAAAAGTTAGGAAAGTCATTATAAGTATTATAAAGATTGTAAGTATCCTATTACCTTAAAAACACAAAACGTTTTTCAAACAGTTGACTCATTCTTGTAGATATTCAAAGTCTTAATAAACATCTTCATCAAAGTCTCCTCAGCCAAGCTGTGATAACAAAGTTTTTGTTACGGTTTGGAGGAGGACTCAAGCGCAGGACTCCGGTTCTAATGCTCACAAGAAGGATTTATTTACAATTCACCAGTTGTATATACAAGAAGGTGTGGGGGGGCTATATACAGCTGAGTGAGGGAAGAAGGGGTCTCCAGGGAAGTCCAGGGGGGAAGCACGCACTCATCCACACACACGATCACAGGCTCACACTCTGACACTGCCACACGGGAATCACACGGGGAAAAATCCAGGAAGCTCTGTAGGCAGGGAGACGGGGTTAAGTACGACGCACAAAGGAAAATACTCTTAACTAGACTTGCTGTAGCTTGGCTTCACTAACGCGTGGTAGACAACGATCCAGCGATGAACAGCAGTCGCCTCCTGGTTTAAATGCTGATCATCTTAATGAGACCCAGGTGTCTCATCTGTCGAGGGCGTGAATCCAAAGTGAGTTGCGCCCCGGCGAGAGAGAGAGAGCTGATCAGCGTGCAGCTGATCCGCCTGGCCGTGACATTTTTACCAAACGAATAAATACTAAAACTAAGGATGTTTCCTCTTTTCTATTTTTTATTTCATTTGAGTTCATGTTCCGAGTTCACAAAATCATTTCAGTTGGTTTTATTTTTCCAAAGTCTAGTATGTTTTTTTTTAATGTTAGTTAAGTAAAAGTTTTTGTCACATCTAGTTTTAGTTTTCAGTTTGGTGTTAGTGATCTATAGTAACCTTACCACATACACACAGTAGCAAAGTTGTGCACCGATTCATACAGATTGATGTCTTCTATGCATTAAAGTGTTTATTACTCTTTAGGAAGTGGTAGTACACCAGCTGGCTTATGTTATTGTCTTTAAACTTTCACTGCATTTTGTTAAGCCACATTGAAATTCCAGTGGAAGAGTTACTTTTTCTTTTCTTTTATATTCAAAGATCAGCCAAGATCTTGGGTTCCACCCACTGCTGCAGCGCTGGGTGATTGGGAAGCGGCTAGCTCAGGACCAGGAAACATTATATAGCCATGGGATTCGAAATAGTGGAGACCAGGCTTTCCTGTTTATCAGGTCTGCCCATGCTGCTCATCTCACACGGCATCAGCACAACCTGGACCAGGAGCAACAACGTATAGATGGTAAGTAGTAAACAGTTGTCTTACCTTTTGAACGATAAGAAGAAGTGCTTTGGCTATGATAAATACAGACAGATTTTTATCAGCAAAGTATGCCGTATTGATGTTTAATAGCACTGAAGTTTTATACAATTAAAATCTATTATTAGGTATCATGGAGTCGATGCAATCACTGCAGCTGCTTCCCAGAGGTCTGGAAGGAGGTGGTGGTGAGAAGATAGTTCCTCCTCCTCTTCCTCCTAGAGACCGAACTGCTACTGTACCCAAGCCTCCTGTGGCTCCTAAACCTCAGGTCAGAACACAACTAGACCCTGCTTTAGCAATGGGCCTGCACATATAATTGTTTAAATACAGTAGTGCATGTGTTAGAGACGTGTAAACATATTGTATGTCTTTGTGCATGCAGTTGGGATGGGCCTGTTCAGTGTGTACGTATCTGAACAAGCCAACACGTCCCGGCTGTGAGATGTGCGGAGGGGAACGGCCAGCAGAATACACTGTGCCTGACATCTACCAGCCAGATGAGGAGGAGATTAAGAGGATTCAGCAGGAAACACTTGCCATGATGCAGTACGAACAGGTAAAAGTGCTGCTTGTTAAAAAAAAACAGCTAAAATTAAATCCTTTTAACACGGTCTCACATTTATGTGTGAAATAACCCTAATCACCTGGGGTCATGGGAAAACCTGAAATATTATAGGAAATAAGATTTGTGCTTGACAAGTTTTAAAGAAAAATGTAATGTTTATATTAAAACATCGGTATATTTGTTATAAAAGAAACAGACAGAAAGAAAGAGAAAAACCATCAGTTTAATTAACTCATTAAATCTTGTTTTTGTGTCACCTTTTTGTTTAAATTGCACATTTTAAACTACACATTGTTCCTAGATGATTTGCCACACATTACCAATAAAGAATAATGAGAGCTGACTTTAGGGACACAATAAAACTTCTCAGCTTTCATTTTCTATCTTCGGGAAAAGCTAAATTACTATGTTTATGAGTCATGCAGTTTATCTGAACCTCTGCTGTGCATGCTACTCTGTGATAAAGGCTCAGCGGGAGGAACGAGAAGAGAACTATTTGCACTTGTTGGCAACAGAAGAACAGAACCTTATCCCATATGCCAACGAGGCAGATTGTCCAATTTGCTTCTGTAATCTGCAGCCAGGAGAGGGCATCGTGCTCAGAGAGTGTCTCCATACCTTCTGCAGGTATGACAGAAAATAGCTTTGTAATATGACAGAAAAATGATCAAATTCTGTCTGCTTTCTTGGTCACTTTCTGATTAGCTAACATTGACCTTTACACCACCCATACCATATCCCAACTTCCCTGCTGCTAGACCTTCGCAA